GTGTCCTGGTGATGGGACCAGCAGGGGCAGAGGCTGGCACCCTCTGTCTCAGAGGGAGAGCTCTGCTGCCTACCTTTGGGGCTGATTCCCCCCCAAAATGAAGTGAAAAAAATGTAGCTGGTAACTGCATCTAACCAAATCTGCAAGCCTGGCCATTGGGTGTTTCATCCCTGTCATCAACAGTAGATGTATCTGAATAGCACAGATGGATTTCCCTGTATCAGGCAAATGAAGGTGAGCAAAGTTAGTTTTCTAAAGAGATGGGGGGAAAAAAAAAATCACACAGTGGGGACATTAAATAGGGTACGGTGCCATCACGTCCATGATTATTGCATACCTTAAGGTAAACCTGCTTGGATATGTTTTATTATTCCTTCCTCCATCTTGAAGGAAAGGGAGAAATCAGTTCAAGCATTTTTAGATTTTCGAAGGGGAGTTTTTAGCTTCTCTAATTTCGATATTTCTGTCCTCCCTTGCTTTTTCTAGATTGCGACTCAAACTCTCAGAGTACGTAGAGAAAAGATGATTCCTACACAGTTTTTAGCATGACTGACCTTACAAGAAAAGCTTACAGGTATGCTGTTTTATAGTAGTAATCCCAAATCCTCCAGCTGATGACAGGACTGCAGGATGGCTACTGAGGAACATTGCACCACAGTAATGCAGCAGATCTCCTGGAAAGACTGTTCTAAGCAAATTTCTCAAACACAAATAATTTCTTGCCTGTATTTAATATGTCTGTGTTTTACAGGTATACTCCCAATAACTGCATTTTATGCTTGTGGTATTGCATTGTTTTTAATGATTAGAATGCTAAATTCAAGAAATAAGATGATCACCATTATCAGCACTGTCCTTAATTGAAGGAAGCCTCTGATGTTTTCCCAGTTTGCATAAACCTGACTTTGGCCCATTATGAGCTCATTCTCAGATTAAACACAGTTCATGACACTTTAATATGTTAACTCTACTTCACGATATTTCCTGCCAATATTTAATTTCTTCTTTAATAGACCAGAGACTCTATGTCCACACAAGTCTTTAATAAAAAGAGTTTTCAACTTCTAAAGACACTACCTTGACCTTTACTGAAATCAAAAGTGCAAAGCAAATTAGAATATTCATTCCAAAAAGTCCTTTTAAAACTGAAATTTCCGCCAATAAAAGGTCAGACTTTATTATCTATAAAATTAATGCTGTGTCCATCAAATTTGCTCTTACACATTGTTTCAATTATGTTTGGAAGGTACGGGAACTGTTTAGAACAGAAATAACATAATTCACACTTAACTACATTTTTCCGCAGTTAATTTGACAATGCTGAAAAAGGATACCATAAAGTTCAAAAAGAATATCATAAACAACTAAATTATTCCCTGCAGTGGAATGACTCCATTTTCTATGGTCCATTCACAATTACTATCCTACTAGTAAGAATATTTTTGTGATTTATTGAAAAAAGATAAAGATGTTGTGGCCCATGGATTTATATAAACAGCTACCAACAACCATGAAGCTCCTGGTTTTACTTCTGACTGAAACCTTCAACATTTTACAAATAAGGAAGATGCCCTGGCAGGGTGCCCAGCCCTGATGGGTACCAAGTGGAGGCCAGCGCCCCCTGACACCCGTGAAAGACCATGAAGAAAGCATCACTACGAATAATGCTTTCGGCTCTCTCTACTCTTTAACCAACATAGGAGAACTATAGTACGGCCATTTTAAAGAGAGGTGATATTGGAATATGATGGGACAAAGGTATCTATTCTGTAATTATATTACCTCTATATGCTATGACTATTTATAGAAATTCATAGTTAGTGTAGGACTAACTTTGGGCTGGGGTCAGATTTTGAGCCCCTAACATGCAAGAGCTAAAGCATGGCAACAGTTTCCTGACTTGGTTTTCTTTTTTCCTTTGGTCCTAAAAGGAAACAGTTTTACTTCGTTTTAGAGCCTTCTTTGATTACGTCATTAAAAGCTGGCGAACAGCTCCCGGCCACCCTTCCAGAGCGAGCGCGCACGTTTGCGGTCCTTCAACGCTGTGAGCACCGGCGTGACTCCCGCTGGCACTGACCCAAGCTGAATCCAGGGGAAGCTGGACCAGGACTTGGTGATGCAACTGCGGGGGAACGGTGACCTCTAAATGAGCCAGCTTCTCCCCAAAAACCTCCCGAGTGCCAGCGCAGCGCTTTGGATTAGACAAAAACAAAACCTCCATTTAATGTAAAATAAACATATGTTTTGCTCGTTTCTTTGCCAGCAGCCACACACAATGGTGAAAGAAATAGCTTACATCGACTGCTTTTGAAGAAAAAAAGAGTCTTTGATTTATTATATTTTTTTCTTCCTTTCTCCTCTCTTTGCCCCAAGTCTATTAGCCCAAGTAAATGACTTGCTCTACTGGAAATACCAGTAAATTTTCAGCTTACCACCCTATCTCATTTGGCAGTTCTTAATCCTGCCAAAGGCAGCCCTATCGCATCAAAATCTTAACCGTATTCACTGATGTTAAATAGACTGCACTTACCAACCTGAAAAGAGATGGCTTTTACTTTGCAGTTTGTGCACAATGCTCTTCAAAAGAGAATGCACGCAGTTACGCTCAATCTGACTCTTCAGTTTTAAGCTAACATAACCTTCTTTTAAAGTCCTGAAAGACTTACTATTCTACCACAGTTTTGCTTGTCATCTAATGTAATATCCCTTCTCGTGGTGGACATTAGCAATGATTGGCTAGAAAAATCTAGTGGATATCATGTTTGCTAGTTAGCATCGTCAGTGACCTGGAAATAAGTGCGGGGAACAGCTTTGAGGGATGTTACGAGTCCTAACCCCAGGGGACGGGGCAGATTCCAAAACAAATAATTGAAATCAATTAAAAACCTTCCTTGGCTGCCTTAGCCATAGGGTCTGGACGTCACAGACTGCACACTGCTGGCACATAGGTGCCAAGGCAGCACAGCCTCTCTGCGGATGAAGTAATCACATCGTGAGCCGAGCCTGCGGGAACTCGGGTTTGCCAGGGGTTAGTGCTCGCCGGTGCCGCCGCGGGGACGGCCAAGGCGAGCAGCTGCACGCGCCCTTCCCTTCGCCGCTCCGGTCGCGTCCCACAAATTCCACATTTATACAGACCATCTTTCCAGTTACCTCTAAGTTTTAATGAGTTTCACTAGCCGCTTCGTAACTAATCTGGGGTGATATGGAGCGCAGGGTTAATACCAGCTATTTAAGGCCTGCCATTTACTGCCGTTTCCACCTGTGGCCGAGCTGCGCGGAGCAACATAGTGCAATACTCTCGAATGATCATTATTAACACCTTAGCATGCCACTACTAAATGCACACGTGCTTTCTAATTACTTCATTCAGAGAAGTCAATAACGTCTGAGGAGATTAGCTGCCACGCTAACAGTGCCACAGAATTACAAATAAACGCAGTAACAGCCACTAGAATTGGATGCTGACTGTATCTCAGCTGAATTTGTTCTCTCCATCCCAGGTGAAAGCTCTTCTCTGGCTCTGCTGCTCAGTGCCCAGATACCTTTCCCTCCTCTCGTTCTCTCAGCATGCAAAAAAAATCTGGGCAGTAGAAGAGGTCACCTAACTCCTGGCAGGGAGGCTCTTGCTGACTCATTTTTCTATTCTATTCTATTCTATTCTATTCTATTCTATTCTATTCTATTCTATTCTATTCCATTGTATTCTATTCTATTCTATTCTATTCTATTCTATTCTAGCATATTTTATTTTATTTTAGCCTATTTGTTCCCTTATTTAGAATAAATGTCAGTAGTGAGTGTTACTGCACTGAGCGCAAGATAAAAATCTGCACGAACAAGTAGGGAAAGTCTCGTTTCATTTAGGCTGGTCTCTGCAGCTGAAAATATTCACCTTTTTACTCCTTTTTTTCTCTTTCACAGCCTAGCTGTATACAACTCTGCCTTTAAAACATATGCAACTTTGTCCTTTAGATAATCGGTCCCTCAGTAATATTATTCTGACTTTTTACTTATTCATCGTTAAGATTACATTTCCCAGGGTACTCCATTTTAAGATGCAATTAAAAAATCTTTATCTAATAGCAAATAAAAGATAGAAATAAGTTTAGTGCTACATTTTTCTCTGGAAATTTCCTGATAAAATATATATATGAATATATAAGTAAATCATCACCTCAGCAGAAAAAATGTTCTTTTCCATTTAAGGAGATATTTTCTTTTTCCTGTCAAGGCCTGCAAACATTTCCTGAGTCTTATGGTTACAAAATGTAGAATTACACTCCTAAAAAGGATATTTTACAATCCATCACCAGGACTAAATCAGCTGCAGCTGTGAAAAAGTGTTAGCATATTAGCTGTTATATTACAGAAAAAGCTTTTATTTATTTTGTGCCTTTAGCTCTGGAGATTTGCAGGAATGTTCAGGATTTTCTCTATTTTTTTCCCTGCTACAGAAGTTACTCGCACTGAATTTTCACTAGATAGTTTAATTCAGATTATATTTGACAGAAGAAACTTTAATTCACATAATATTGTAATAAATATTGCATTTTAATGAGAGTTTTTGCTTACATTTTTCTTGTCACTGTCATTGAATGTTGAATAGAACACAATTCAGCATATCAAGGATGAGTTGTTATTGGTATTTAGGGGCCTTAGGCTTAATAACTGCTCAAATATTATGAAGAAATTAACTCTGATAAAGATGAGTTATTATTTCCCAAGAACATTCATACACTACTCTCAGATCTCAGCGTAGGAATAAATGTGTGTGACTTGGCTTTAAACCAAAGCTGTTCTTAGTCTGACGTTTATCTCTCTGTTCTCTGTTGGTCACAATACTTTATAATACCTTTGGGTGGCCACTTCATAAAGCTCTGAAGCATAACCTTAACTTCACATGTGTGCTTTTTTGAACAGTAGCTTCCAAGCAGAAAAAAAAAAAAATATATATATATATACTCTCAATGAAATGGATGTGATCAATAATAGCTACTCACCACTGTCTATGGCCAGAAACAGAGCAGTGTACACGTTATTGTGCACATAAGGAGACTCACGATCCAGGACAGCAGTGGTGCCAATGGTACCATTAGTAGGGTTAATTTCTAGCCACTCTGCTGGATCCTTGTAAACTGAATACCTAAATAAAAAGATAAAAGTCATCAAGAGATTACACAACTAGACATGAAATAATTACATTACTACAGAAGAATATGTCTTTGCCCTCACTGGCTTTCACGGAGTGGAAAAAAACATAAACCTTGTGCCTTCCTTTTCAGTTAGGTCATTAGCATTAGGCTCATTTGATAGATGGAGGAACACAGGGAGGTATCAGCTAATATCTTTGGACACACATGCCCCAAAGCCTAGCATTGAAATCCATATTTAAAACATTAAACAGAACCTGCGGCTTAGTGTCAATCTTTGGTGTGCTATACGCCAGAGGATCTGACTGCTTTTACGTACTGCCGCAACACCACCCATGGACCAGTATCTACCTATGGACTCCAGGCATAGTCTCACATTTCTTCTCTTTCCAGATTCAAAATCCTGTTTGGAGCAGGAGTTATTTTTTATTGCTTTTCTGAGCGTTCTTCATTTTTTTCTCTTCCAATTAATTATTTTGTGTGGGGCTGGAGATGTGAGAGATAGTAGGGCATGGCAACAAAAAGACAGATAGCCTTGGACTACCTTGGGAGTTTGTTACCCCACAGACCCCCAGCTTGCACAGATTTATTCTGCAATTTATGGTCTGTAGTTCCCTGCTTCTATGATCTCAAGGAGATGTTCACATTCCTGGAGTAATTCAACCACATAAGCTTGGACTAAATAAGGATTTGAAAATGTAAACCACATATCCAAGCCTCTCAATATATAATTCACTTTATGCTTTCTTTGCAATAATCATCACAAATATTTAGACCCTTATACCAAAGATGTTTGCAGAAATTGCTTAGTTTGCACACTAAGAATTGCTCCACTTGACTGAAGTAATGGCCATACAAATGTTCATGATTAGGGCCTGATTCACAGCTAAATATATTAAATAACGTAACAACACAGAGATGAATTAACTGGCACAAGTTCTCTCTCCAATGAAATGTGTTAATATTTTCAACCAAAATTCCAATTATATAATCAATACATACTATAATAAGCTGTTTATCTTTTTGTAGAGTCTTGTTATAGCTCATAAACAGCCATGAGATCTTCCACAGACATCTTAAATTACAAGGAATTGACACAAAACCTGTTATCGTTTAATGAGTATGTGCCAAGCCAGCGCCTCTTAGTGACATTCATTTGAAAGGTGTGCTATGTTAAAATGCTGCCAAAAACAATTTATCAGTGCAACTATTTCCTGAGGGAATAATCAAAAGTAAGAGATTCGTTAGAAGGGGGAAAAAAGTAAGTAAAATGAAACAAAATGGCAAGGGCTAGAACAGGAAAGCGTAAATTGCACGTCAACAGATAAAGGCATGATCCCTTGCTTTGCTCTCTTGTATCCTCCGGAAGGAGAGCAAATAAGTTAGAACTTCCCTCTAGCAAACTGTAAAGGTATTTCTGTTAGCATAGCTAACGGCAAGGGCAGATGTTCGGCAGCCCCATCCACTGCTGCTGCCCCCGTGGTCCCGGGTTCGGACCTCCCAGCCCTGTATAACACAGGCTTTTTCACTGCCCACGAGTTTTGTCTAGGCATAGACCAACAACTTTTGCCTGGGGCTTCTGGACCTTGAAAAGGCCAGGCAGGGCCACAGCTCTGAGCAGGCTGCTAGTTGTTTGCGCCGGACATAAGCATCATTCATTATTCGTGCAGCAAATTTTACTGTATCCGAACAGTAAGCCTGAGCGTTTGCTGAAGCTGAAAGAAAAATGAATGAGAATGGCCTCGCGCATGGCTCAAGCTTAAACTCTGCTGTTAAGATGGCATTGTAAAAAGCTATTGAGCAAACTGAAGAAAGGGATTCGTCCATCCTTCAGCCCAGGAATTTCCCCTCCAAAATCTGAAATAACACCGTTTGAGGGTATCATTAAGCAGGGACGCCTTGTTTTCCTGTAGCTTAGGAAAGATTAGAATGGATTTAACTAATCCTAGCATCTGAATAATAAATCCTGGGCCTAGCCACCATACTATACAGCAAGAAGAAAACTAAATTCTTATAAAAGTGAGAAATTCTGGGCGAATTGCATGAGTTAGGCCATGCACATACTTAGGCCTGAGAAGTGCAGGACAGACACGTGGATATCTTGCCCCAGCCCTCAGGTATCAGGTATCCATCATAATATCCACCATAACCGGGTTAGCTGGAAGCACAGCGAGACCTCAGTCTATGCTTCAGCAAGCACAGGGCTCCAGAATCCTTACGAACTGGCCATATGGCCCATAGGTTCATTTAAATAAACTGTTCTGCAGATTAACATTATACTTCAAAGAGCTACATAGTACTCATTTCAAAAGAATTAAAGTCCAAAGCGTTGAGTTTTTTCTTCAAAAAATAAACTCTCTTTCAGTAGAAAGCCTTCTCTTAATTCATCAGAGGAACGCATCTCTCACCAAAAAATCATCCATTTCTCACAAAGTTTTTCTGTGTACCTTTAGGGGAAGCAATATTATCCTACAGAAGATGAACACGGGCAATTTCAGAGGTGGAAACAGCCAAAACTGGCCAAGTGGCTGCTACACTTGACTCGGGTTCTGCTCCAGGCTTGCAAAGTGCAATCTCTCCAGGGCTGCT